AATCCATCACCTTGTCAGACTAAGAATTATCCTTGAAGTGCTGACCAGCTTCGGAAATTGCGGCAGGGGGCGCGATTCGCGAGCACGAAGCTTAGCACCCTGTCAGCTGAATCATGCCTCACCTTGTTTCGCTCAGTCAGTCGACCCCTCTGCACCACGCATCTGCAACATGAGCTTTCACCTTATTTACCTCGGGAGGGTCACCACCCGAGTCATCAATCCTGGTCCGCAACTGCTTCCACAGGCACACACACACACACACGCAGCCGAAGCGCTGGCGGTGTGACGCGAGCCTCGCACGTTGACACCTCTCCACGCGAAACCAGAACCCGCGTGGATGACAACTGTGGGGCACACAGAATTGCAACGCAGCAAGCAGCGCATAGGGTTCCGCGCCGTCGAAGTCTTGAAGAGCCGAGGGCAGCAAGCCTGCGATCGCGCAAACTTCAGAGTTGCTGTTCTCTGCAAACGCATCTGCAGCCGATGCCGCCACGCCACGATACGAGTGACGGCTACAAAACGACCCGTCAATGCACATACCCTTCGTCAATACCCGTGGGGCCCCTAGCCACTTGATGGAGGCGCCAGCAGGCGCCTGCAACAACTGCTGAGGAACCGGCGGCAGAGGCAGGAGAGAACGTTCCAGAAGTAGCCGCCCAGGGCGTTCTGGTCGACATGAGGCTTCATCAAAGTAATGGGCGCAGGGAGTGCCTCACCGATTGCCTCGAGCATTTGGGGGCATTCAGCGCGCCTGAAGGAGGGGCCCGGGGGCTCTCTGGCACGCGCGGAGACTCGGAAAGGCAATCCACCCTCGCTGGAACTGCCGTTGTTGTGGCCACTAGGCTCAAATTACTGCGCCACGCAGATGCCCGCGCTGCTGCCAGTTGAGGGGGCCCTTGCTGAGGAGGTGCTTCAGGGGCCTGATGCAGAGAACAATCCGAAATTCAAGGGTGTCCAGATGCTCTGCTACCTGCAGGCTGCCACAGCCCCGAATAGCACGAGACAGCAGCGCAATGCAAACCTTGGGGCGGACGCCTTCCAGCCTCAACTCAGACCCATCGGGAAGCTCCCAGGCGAAGAGGGGCTCCGCCACGACGATGCTCCCCCGCCAACCCCACTCGGTCCGCTGGGGGCCCGCGGAGCAGGACATGCCGAGGAATCAGTTGGCCCCAGAGGAGCCGCGGCGAACACTTCCACGGGCTCGAGGGCGGCCCTCTGGTTCGGATCGTAGCAATCCTGCGGAGAAAGCGCTAGAGCAAGAGCGCGGCGCGCGCCACCGACTGGATTTCGCATCCAAGGCCGCCAAAGCCAAGGGCCGAGGGTGGTCGTGCTCCTGCACTGCAATACCTTGAACGGAGGTGCCAAAAACTACAGGCGCCCCCTGCGCTGCTCGCGCCATGATTGCCATCGCCTTCTTCCTGGCGGTCGCGCCCAGAAGATGCCCACCACGTTTGAGCCTGTCCTTGGAAGCCTTGATCCTGGAAGCCCTCGGGGAGACAATCCTCTCGCCAGGCCATCGCGCAGGGCAGCGCCACTGGCGAGCACTCGCGCATCATCGAATGCAAATCGCGCGTCGACTTGCTGAAGCTGGCACTGCGAGGCGGCGCCAGCGCCAGCAACATCGCTCAAAACACTGCCGGGCCCCCCCGACCTCTGCAGCCCAAAATCGTCGACCACGAGCGAGATACAAGCCGCCCGACGTTCGAGCTGGGCCACGCCCAGGGAGCCCAGAAGGACCAGCTGCAGAAGAACCGTGGCAAAACCACACGCGGGAATAATCACAGCTTCAGCCTCGACGCAATTACTCACAACCTCTCGGGGTCGAGCAAGAGCCACGACCGATATGCCAGCACGAGCAGTCTTAGCTGCCACCGCGGGAAAGCAACGGCTGGCGCTGCTGCTAGAAGGCGACGATGCTTGACGAACCCGAGAGCCCGATTCAAAGCAAGCAGCAACGCGGCAGACGCGAGCCCCGCAGGCCGATAGTACTCCGCCCACGGCGCTTGGATATACGCGCAAGCATCGGCATTATCCCCTTTGGTCCCCAACAAGAAGCTGCGATAGTTACGCTTCTGCCGCCGGGCAACGAGAGGTCGGCACAAGCGAGACTGAATGCGGCGGGGAAAGCGCGGCAGACCTGAAGGACGGACTCCTCCAAGACGCTTCAGGCTGAATACTATCTCGCTGGTAAAGGGCGGCCAGTCCGCCTCTGCTTCAATACCGGCAGTCAAATCGCACGGCAGCCGCAGCGCGGAATCTGGCAAGCGCGGGAGGATTCCAGTCGATGCCTTATCATGCTCGCACCCACCGTCTGCAGGAAAGGACGTCAAAATATTCTCGAGCTCCTGAGCAGTAGGCGGAGGAGACCTTGGCCCGAGGTCGCCAGGCCACTCGAGACGAGGCTGCGTTGCCCCCACCTGCCACCACCCACCCCACTCCTTCTTTAACTCTTCCATGTCTCCCAGGCTGGCGCTGCGGCGGACGGTGAATGAGTCAGGGGTGGAAGGCTGCCAGGGGCCAGGTGAATGAACGCACTTAAACCTGACCGCGGCCCGTCCCCCACCACCACCGCCACCACCACCACCCACCACAACCACCACCACCGACTGGTTCTTAACCCAGTGGCCCCGATTGACACATTCAGCGGGGCTGCCTGCTTGCGCGGACGGCCGGCGTGCTCGGACGCAACGATCGCAGAATACTCAACGACGGCGAAATCACACTTCCTGACCTGGCCCAGGGAGTCGAGCAAACTGGTGGCACGCTCCGACTTGGACGCATCAGGGGTGCTCTGGAGGTACCTGACCCGCATGAGAGCCTGAGTAAATTGGGCACCATTGAGAGGCATGGCGGACCATTTACGAGCCCACACCAGAGCACACCACCATCCCGCTCGAGGGGACAGACGAGGGAAGGGCACAGGAGCAGGACGAGCAGGGCGACACCATCCCACATCCACGTCACCACGTCTTCCCAGGCAGGACCCCGAGAGTTCATGAGGTATCTGAAATACTTCAAGCCAGTCCAACTCAGCAGTGGAACCAAACGCATCCCAAGACTCGCCAAGCGTAGCAGTCTCAATATCTCGAGCAGCAGCCCCCCACCTGGCCAGATCGGGTTCAGCACGACACCCACTGGGCAATTATCTGGAGAACCTTCGAAGGATCTTGTCCGCCCTGACGGGAGGGGGTTGTCTCGGGACCTCAGGGTGAGCCGGATCGGCGTGCGCGGTGCGATCGCAACATCTGCCAGCTGAGCAATCGCGGCGTCGTGCACGAGCGAGTTCGACACCGCAGCACAAGTCGAGAGCACGATTGGCGGGGGCGAGCGTGACAGCTGCAGCGTGAATCGCAACCCCGTCAACCGCATCGATCCATCCTGGGTGCGACAGCATGTCGGGCCCCATGCTGGTACCACCCATGACAATGTAAGCATGCTAGCCGACTTCTGTTGCGCGCCAAGACGACAAAGCAGATCCCAACTAGCTGGCGCTAGGCCGATAGAATTGTGCAGATAGGGCGCGCATGCAAGGAAGCCCCCTGGCACGAGTCCCCGGACACGCATGATCATCACCCTCCCCGTCTGCATCACAATGGAGATTGACTCTACCTTCGCCAATCCGATATGCTTCGGGACTGCGAGCAGAGTGCCAGCCGAGATACTTCCACTGCTGATAACGATAGCAATAGAGAACTTACCTCTCCACCCCTGTCTCCTGAGTTTATGATCCGTGGCACCAACCTCCATCATCCGCGTTTCTTGGACGCCGACCTGATGCGCCGTCAGAACAGAAGGGGAGGAGAGGAAAATGTCAAGCCCAGAGCGACCAGTGACACGCGCAGAGACTACTTTCAAAAGAGATAGGGCCTTTGGCCCTGCCGCTGGGGCCGCACTTTGGCTACCACAGTTTCGACTTCTTGAATGCACAGGCAGCGTCATCAAGGGCAGCTTCGAGCTGAGACCGTGTGACACCTCCCTCAGACCCGGCAAGCTTGTCGAGCCACTCACCACTCCTAAGATAGTCGATGGCACCGTCCATGTTGATGTCGCCATCCGCGTTGCGACGATCCACATCACCAACACCAGGTTCACGATTACCTGCACTTTGGCGTACATCAGTGTTTTCCTTCGGCTTTGTTTCTGCTTCAGCACGCTGTGTTTCCTCTTCTTCAGCCTTAGCTTTCTGACGAGATTGAACCATAGTCTTGATGGCCTCCACCACGTTGGCGTCCACCCCGAGGTCCGCCAGCTGCGCCACCAGCAGAGCAGCCGGGTCAGCAGGCGCAGGACTGCCAGCTTTGCCCAGTTCCGACTAGTCGTTGGCGGCGGTGCGGGCGGCCTCCAACTTCTTGCACTTCGCCTGCAGCTCGAACTTCTTGCATTTCGCCTGCAGCTCAGCGGTTTTCTGCAGCTGCTTCGCCAAGGCACTCTTGGGAATGTTCCAAAGCCTTCTTGGCCCTGAGCACCTAGTCCTTGAGCAGGTCGTGCGACGTACGCCAGGGGAAGTAGTTGGGGGAACCCGCAGCGCTTGTCGCAGCACTACCATGTGGCAGCCCAGGCTTTGCCTCCATCGCGTCCCATCGAACGAAAGTAGAGGGAAGCCTAGCGATGCCGCCGCACAGCCATCACGCCTGAAAGGATGCTCTCCCCTGGCCAGGCGGCCACCTGATGGGGAGCGCGTGTTGCGCTGGTCGCCGAAATGCCTCTCGAGCCACAATGGCTTGAGCCAAAATGGCTACGGATCTCCTCCTCCTCCTCCTCCTCATCCTCTTCCTCCTCCTCCTCCTCCTCCTCCTCCTCCTCCTCCTCCTCCTCCTCCTCCTCCTCCTCCTCCTCCTCCTCCTCCTCCTCCTCCTCCTCCTCTCCTCCTCCCTCCTCCTCCTCCTCCTCCTCCTCCTCCTCCTCCCCCTCCTCCTCCTCCTCCTCCTCCTCCTCCTCCTCCTCCTACTCCTCCCTCACCGTCGTGTGCGTCGGACTGCGCGGCAGCGCACCCGGATGGCGCACGGAGGACGCGATGCAGCCCGCCGCGCGCACGGCGCACCGGCCCAGCAGCAGCGACGCCCGCGGCGGCGCTGGGCAGACGGGCCGCGGCGGCGCGAGCGGCGCGGGCACTGCAGCGGGGCGGGAGGGCCGCCACGTGCAGGCGGGGGCCCCAGCCGGAGAGGGCACTTCCGCTCTCGAAGCCTCCGCGCACGAGCTGTACGCACCAGCTGCACGCAGGAGCCCAGGCCTCCGATCGCACGGCCTTCTCGAGTTCGGGCGTGTGTTCCTCTGGCTGCGTCCGCAGGGGCCCGTCGTCGGGCCCCAGGACCATCGCAAGAGGATGCGCGGAGCCGCCCCCAGGGCGGGGGTCGGAAGCTCTGTGGCCGCGGACCAGGGATGCTTGCCAGCAGCTGCGCCTCGCCGAGGGCTCCGTGGTGGTGCCCGCATCCTCTAGCACGGCCGCTGGATGGTCCGAGAACCACAGGAGGAGGACGAGGGGGAGGAGAAGGAGAAGGAGGAGGAGGAGGAGGAGGAGGAGCAGGAGGAGGCTCAGCCAGGGTCACCTCTGGTGCGCAGCTTGCCGATCTATGCATGCGGTGCGGCTGCAGCGGCCTGCGTAATTGGATTCGGCGCCCCCGGCGCCCCCCCACCGAACGCCACGCACGGATGACCACTCCGGCGCAGGGGCCGCTCTTGCGTGTAGCCGGATGAGGCATTGGGCGGGCCTTCCAGGCGGGACAGCATCGAGCGCGGCTTGGGCCGCGCTGGGCTGGGCCAAGACGGCGCCTGGGAGAAGGACGAGGGAGGGGAGCGCGGGTGGAGGTGGGGGGGGTATGAGGAGGAACGGGGAGACCGGAGAGGAAGATTTCCGCCTGACGGTGGTGAAGATGGACTGATCGTATCGTTGAAGACAGCGGCCAAAATCAAGCATCAGCCATCCGCACGAGGGACATCCGCACATCAAATATCCCATTGGGCTTCCAATGGCTCGACTACATCTGGGTCACGAAGTAGTACACATGTACCTAAATATATAAACATACACATGTATGTTGAGTCATGTGTGCACGTGCTCACGCGCGTACACATGTATGATTATGTATGTGTGCATGCATGTACATGTATACATATGTGTATATGTATATACACATGTGTCTATATGTGTAGGTATGTGTGTACGTGCGTGCGTACGTGCGTACGTATGTACGTACGTATGGTAGGATGGATGAATGTATGCATGCATGTTTGTGTGTATGCATGCATGTGTATATGCATGTATGTATGTATGCATGTATGTGTGTATGTGTGCATGTGTGTATGTATGTATGTATGTATGTATGTATGTAGGTAGGTAGGTAGGTAGGTAGGTAGGTAGGTAGGTAGGTAGGTATGTATGTATGTATGTGTGTGAGTAAGTATGTGCGTATGTACGTATGTGTGTATGTGTATGCATGTATGCATGTATGCATGTATGTATGTATGTATGTATGTATGTATGTGTATGCCTGCATGCATGCATGTATGTATGTGGGAGGGTAGGTGCGAAATCCTTGTCGACCGTGGTTGCATATCTAGGAATGAAAGCCTAAGTTCATTATCTTCGGATAATACCCTATGGATTATTATCCTGTGAATGGATCGAACTCAGCCCCCCCCCCCGCCGAACCATTATCATTCCGGAATAATCAACCTAAGTTTAATACTCCAACATTATGGACCAGGGTTTATCTCAAGCCGGAACGTACTCTCAAACGGCGCCCCCCAGGCCCAATCAGTATCATTCCAAAATAGTTAACACGGGGTCAACATTCCGGAAACATTACGAATCCGGGTTTGGGTTTATTATCTCCTGGAAATAATAAACCGGGGTCCTTATTGCGACAAGAAAAACTTGGTGGGGAACCCGGGGTTGGGGGTAAAATAATAATTAATATCATTCCGGAATTTGGAAAACTGGTTTCATTACTCCCGGGACATTATAAACCCCAGTCAATATTCCCGGGACATTATAAACCCAGGTTAAGATGTTGTTGGGGCCGATATCCCCAGAACATTATAAACCAGGGTTTATAGTGTTCCGGGGGGAACATTACGAACCCCAGCCAATATTCCTAGAACATTAGTTCCAGGCGAGACATTATGAACCCTGGTCAATTATCCCAGAACATTATAAACCCAGGTTAATAACTATTTGGGGTCCATCCTGACATGTGTGTATGTGTATGTATGTGTGTATGTGTGTATGTGTGTATGGATGCATGTACGTGTGCATGTGTGTATGCATGCATGCATGCATGTGTGCATGTATGTATGCATGTGTGTTTTCAGGCATGGAGTGGTGTGTATATTTGTATGTGGATGTATGTGTGTATGTGTATGTGTATGTATGTGTGTATGTATGTAAGTGTATGCATGTGTGTTTGCATTCATGTAGGAGGTAGGTGGGTAGGCAGGTAGGTAGGTGTGTATGTGTAAATAAGTATGTATGTATGTATGGATAAGTGGATGGATGGCCAGACGTTTGATTGTATGCATGTATGGATGTATGTATGTATATATATATATATATGTGTGTACGTATGTATGGTTGTACATACGTACATGTGTGTATGCATGTACGTGTGCTGTGTGTATGTGGTCTCTACGTACGTATGTATGCACGTGTGCATGCATGCATGTGTGTACGTATGATTGTGTAGATGTATGTATGTATGGATGGATGCATGAAATTGGATGCATGTATGCATACATGTACGCACGTACGTATCGTATACGCTCGCCCGTATATACAGATACGTATATAGAGAGAGGGGGAAGAGAGCGGGAGATAATGGCCTTCGGCCCATCCCGCCGGCGTTAATTATCTGGGGCGTGGACCAGGGGCCTCTGGAATAAGTTTGAAAGTCTATGGGGTACATCTCGGGGGCATGGCGGGGGCCTATCGGGGATTTGCGGTCTGGTGGCCTGCTGGCGGTTTCTGGTCGTGGTCTGTAGTCGTGGCTCATGGTCGCATCGTGGCTCGTGGTTTCTGGTCGTGGCCCGCGGTCTCTGGCCTTGGGTCGTGGTCTCCGGTCTCCTGGCTGTTCTCCCGTGTGGTCTCCCGTGTGGCCTCCAGTCGAACAGTAGAATATGTGATCGAAGACGCCTACGGCGAATCACAGCCGCCCCGTGCCTTCCTGGGAATGGCGATGTATGTGGCCAAACGTCGGGCCAAAGACTGGCCAAGATACTGGACCACGTGTTCCTCCAGCCGTTGTGGAACTCCTGGGGGGAACACGTGGGGAAGAAAGAGGAGGGAAGAGGAGGCGAGGAAGCACAAGGAGGAGGAGGAGGAGGAGGAGGAAGATGCCATTGGGGCGGCTCTCTTGGGGCCTCCTGGGGGAGGGGCCTCCTTGGGGGCCTCCGAGGGGTCCCTTGGCGGCCAACTGGGGCCTCCTGGGGGCCAACTGGGGCCTCTCAGCAGCCTCCTGGCCTCCGGAGACGGCGACTTCGAGGGGACCGCGACTTCAAGGCTCGTCGCTGGAACACCGCGACGACCGCCAGGGGCTGCGAAAAGGAGCGCGACCCCAGAGTGCCAGAAAGCTGCGCCGACACAGGCTGCCCGACGTCGGCGAACCCGGGTCGGCGCTCTGGGCCTCCCCCCCGTCCCTGCCATGCAGCCACGCATAGAATGAGGACGCACGATGAGGATGCAGGGGCCTTGGAAGGCCAGGTCGACACTTTTCGACTAGGGGATCGACTACAGAATTGATTTACCCCAAAATTGATTTGTTCGTCGAGTCTACAAGAAATACGTAGAATGCTCCTTAGAACATTCTACGCATTCGTTCGTAGGTTCGACGGAAAATCAATTGCGGGGTAAATCAACTCTGTAGTCGATCCCCGACTCGAACTCTGCGAGCGGGGGCGCGGCCTGCGAAAGCAGCCAAGGCTGGTCCGAAGGGGGAGGGTTCAAGTGCAGCCTTGGAAGGCCGCTCATCCTTGCTGTGCTGGTCGACTGTGCGGGGTGCGGTGGAGGCATCCTAGGCGGGGTCCGGGTAGATGGGGTCGGCGGATCTCGCCGCATCGCCGATACATCGGCGATGCATCGCGAATGCATCGGGGATGCATCGGCCATGCACTGGCGACGTCGGCGATGCGTCGGCGTGGAGAAAGTTGGGCCCCACATCGAGCTGCATCGCCGATGCATCGCCGAAGCATCGCCAATACATCGGCAATGCGGCGCGATCCTCCGACCCGATCTACTCCGACCCCATTCTAGAAGCCCTGAATGTGGGGAGGAGTGTTAGGTCGGGCCTGTCCCCCTACAGGGGGATTTTGGACGAAAAGTAAAAGATATTCAAAAAATGCTCAAAACATGCCCAACAATAATTAAAATACCAAAGAACAGTCCCCAGACTATTTCTTGACCATTTTGGAATCTCCCCCCTGTAGAGGGGCGGGCCCGACTGAAGAGGAGTGGGGTGCAGCCACAGCGCTGGGCCCCGCCCCCCCCCCCACCCGCCACGCGGGGGTGCGGGGAGGGGGCCTGCCGCGCCGTCCCGAGAGGCCGGCGCGGACCTCCGACCGAGCCCTGCTGGCGCCACTGCGGGCGGGGCGACGCAGGAGTGGGCCGAGGGCTTTCGTCACGCGCTGCGATCCCCCCACCTGATCCTCCTCCTCCTCTTCCTCCCCTGTCTCCTCCTCCTCCTCCTCCTCCTCCTCCTCCTCCTCCTCCTCCTCCTCCTCCTCCTCCTCCTCCTCCTCAGATGCGCATCACCTGGCGGGCCCGAGTCGCCGAGGGAGCGCCCGAAGAGAAGGCGGGTGCTGGCCGAGCGCGGCGACAACGCTTCCTGGTCGGACCTGCTGAGCTGCGTCCGCAGTCAAGCGCCGACGCCCCGCCGCAACACCAGAGGGGCGGCGGCAAAACGGGTGCGAACCCACGACGGTTCGCCGGGGAGGAATTGTCTGAGGGGAGCCCCTCCCTGGGGAGGCGTTGTTCCCCGGCTCGCGCTCTCTGTGGAACTCCGCCATGCACGACACATCGCTGACACTCGCCGGCCCGTTGGGCCGAAGGCCTGCCGACGTACATCATGCAGCAGGCTCCGTGGCTCCGCTGCGTGCGAGCGTGGCGGCCCCCCCTGGGGCCCCAGCACGAAAACTATGCTCTGGGCGGTCCCCGGCGTCGGCGTCGTCGTCGTCGGCGTCGTCGTCGTCGTCGTCGTCGTCGTCGCG